CATCGACGACCCTGTTGTTGGCCAAATGCTTGTTCTAACGAACACCAGTACGCAGTGTCACGATGAATGGAGAGAGCACTAGTAACATTCTATCGCAGGCTTTTATTTCATTTTAGTGAAAATTAAACTATTGCTTAAAACAAAAGTGCTATATGCTACTCATAGACAATCAATATTATCCGGTAATATGATGATAAAACACATATCGACGTTGGATTTGGTGACCTTAAGTGACGATTGCACAACAATAGTACGTATACAATGTGCCCCAACTTAGAAACTACCAACAAAACATATCATACAATTAACGATTAACATTAAAGCAACTATTTACAAATTAAAAAATTATAGATATGCTACTTCATAGACAATCAATATTATCCAGTGATAACATAAAACACATGTATATATCAATGTTGCATTTGATGACATTAACCGATAACCTCAATTTGCATACAATGCACTTCAAACTAGAAGCTACACTATAAAACATATCATATACGAGCAGTACAATTTAAGGTGTCACGGCCGGTAATGGTCCTATTATTGTCACTCTAAAGCAATCGAAACCAAAAAGAACTTCATACTTATGTCATCAGGAGATTTGATGAGTACACATATGGAACTACAATATGACGATACATGATTGTTGAGAACATTTCAAGCAAAAGCACTCTCCGAACATTTGTCAATACAACATTGTAGGTGAGGCTTAGTTTGTCAAGTATGTGAAAAACCAAAGCCCGTCAAGGGCACGCATGATAATTGTGCATCTTTGTATTTCTAGAAGTTACATGTTATCAATTTCAATTTTCAGAAAAAATCTTCAAAAAATTGTTTTTAAACATGAACCATCACAAAAATTAGTTGACAAGACATGATAGAGTAAATTATAGGGAAAGAAAGGGAAAAAAATCCATACACTCATTATTCATGCCGTAATGTAGAGCTCGACCGATAACATGAGAACATACTCCCTCCATTCCATATTCTAATGCGTATAGTTTTTTGGTCTAGATTCCGAAATGTAGTGCGCCTAAGCTGCTTTGTACCACAATAGCCCTCGCCTGGTTCACGGAGTGCAGCAGCAGACAGCATGTGCTGTGGCAGAGTGAGCAGACGGAGGGGTAATTTTCGTCCAAATAAGAGTGCCAGGTCACGTCTTGGTATAACCGCTACGCACAACGGCGCACTACAAAAAGGAATGGAGGGAGTAACTAAATTGAACTCTTGATTCGCAAAAAATAATTCTTAATTGAAATGTTATTTAAACAAATAATGGGAGTATTTTTTTGCAAGAAAAATGACTTGGTGATGGCAAAGTAGAAGCGTTCCCTTCCCTGGCATCCGGCATACATTGTGCAAGTTAAAACTCTGGCGGTGGGCTAAACAGAAAAGGCGCCGCTGGCCTAATTTAGTGCCGCCACGCCGAAGACGAGTGGGGGGGCGGCGGCGAGGACAGTCAAAGCGCTCGCTGACTGCGCCGCGTTTTATTCCCTCTCGCCGCTCCCTCCACCGCTCGCTCCCCTTTTCCCCTACTCACTTCCCTTTTTTAACCCCCCGCCCATCTATAAATGCCCGCCCCCCTCCTCGCCTTATCCTGGGCGCTACACACCCACCCCACCCCACCCCCCTGCATCACCAAAACGCCCGCATAACCAAAAAGATACGCGCACGCCACTTGTACACCTGCTGCACCCATGGCGCCTAGAGCGGCGGAGAAGGCGCCTGTCTCCCCGCCCACCGGCCTCGGCCTCGGCGTCGGCGGCGGGATCGGGGTCGTCGCCGGCGGCGCGCACTACAGGGGCGTCCGGAAGCGCCCGTGGGGACGCTACGCCGCGGAGATCCGCGACCCGGCCAAGAAGAGCAGGGTGTGGCTCGGCACGTACGACACCGCGGAGGAGGCCGCGCGCGCCTACGACACCGCCGCCCGCGAGTTCCGCGGCGCCAAGGCGAAGACCAACTTCCCGTTCCCTTCGTCGTCGTTGTCCCCTGTCGCCGCCGGCGGCGGCGGCGGCGGCAGCCCGAGCAGCGACAGCACCTTGGACTCGAGCGGCGGAGGGAGCGGCGGCTGCGCCCAGGCGCCCATGCAGGCCATCCCGCTGCCGCCCGCCCTCGACCTGGACCTCTTCCACCGCGCGGCGGTCGTCACGGCCGTCGCCGGCGGCGGCATGCGCTTCCCATTCAACGGTTACCCGGTGGCGCCGCGCCAGCCCCTGCACCCGTACTTCTTCTACGAACAGGCCGCGGCCGCCGCGGCGGCGTCGGCGTCGGGGTACCGCGCGCTGAAGGTGGCGCAGCCGGTCACCGTGGCGGCCGTTGCGCAGAGCGACTCCGACTCCTCGTCGGTCGTTGATCTGTCCCCGTCGCCCCCCGCGGTGACAGCGCATAAGGCGGTCGCGTTTGATCTGGATCTCAACCGGCCGCCGCCTTCCGAGGACTAGACAAAGGACAAATTTTAGATGATGACTGTAGTTTCTCATTTTTCCTGCAGGGAACGCTTTTTTTCCTTCTTCTGTTCTGGTCCTCTTGTATTTTTGTTTAGTTGTCCGAGACAGACCGAGGAGCCCTGTAAATAGTTTTTCCGCCGAGAACAGAGCAGAACCGATCTGAGATCTGTTGGTCTAAAACGGATCAAACCGGCGCTGAGGTGAACCGAGACTTGAGTATATGTGTACTCCTCATAAGATGATGAATTTTTCAGAAGATTATGTCCATCTTTTGTGTTGAGAAAGGCAAGATTTATGGTTGGGAAACATTTATTCGCTAATCGGCGCCGCTCCGTCTCCGGCCATCAGGTTTGCTGCCATCTCCGCGACACGGCAGTGAATGGTTTGGTGATCTGCACGTCTCGCTCTGCATGGACACTTCTGGGCTCGACTGACCGGAGGCTGATCAGGAGTAATTGAGCTGGAGTAACGTAATTTTGCATGTAGTTATTGCTCGCTCAGCTGTCAAATTTGCGGCTTTCAAACCCTTCGCTGACAGCTCGGGAGAAAAGGAAAGATGGGTTAGATCTACGGGGACGGAAAGGGCCAAGCTGCAGTGGGCACGAGAGACAAGTGTGGACGAGAGAGAGAGAGGGACGGCCTGGGAGCGGTGCGGTGGACGGACCGACGATCCGTAGGCGCGATGGAACCGCGACTGCGTTGTTCTACTCGTGACCTTGAGAATAACGTGTGCGTGTGGTGTGGGCGACGTCTGTACGACGCGTGGTGCGCGGCCGCCGGTCCCCGCTGCCGTCCCGGCCCGGCCCGGGGATCCTCTCTGCCGGATCCATGCTGCACCGGATGCGTGCGTGGGGTTGGACTTTTGGTGGGGGCGCGCCGCTGGTGATGGTTGGAGCGGAGCCGCGTGTTCGGGTGGGCGCTTGGGTATTTGCGCGAGGACCGGGCGCGGTCTCGGCCGACATGCGTGGGCCAGACAAGCGGAACGGCGGGCATCAGGACGCAGTGATTCGCGGGGCGGCTGCTTCACCTCGCGGTGGGGCCTGCCGCGTGCCCCCGCCTTCCGAAGGTTGCAGCTTTTCTCGTTTCACTCCTCGTACATATTTTTATCCAAACTGTGCTCGTATATTTTAGACGTTTTTTAGGGGACGTATCTTTATATTTTAGACGTGAACACATCGTACGTATAGCAGAGCTCGTATTTTAGTGTGGCTACGACATGTTTACAGCGGTTCGCTCTCATGCGCGCTACTTGCGGTGGCTTTCTTTAGGCATCTCACGCTCGACCTAAATATGAGAGCATCTACAGTCGGACTTATGAAATCCGATTCCAATCGTCTGCGGATACATTCCGGCGAGTCCACAAATAGCGAATTCACCCTTAAACATCCTCTTTTACTTTTGTGTTATTAACAAATCTCATACACACGCAATTGCATGCAACGAAAATCTAGTCTAAACTATGCTGGCGCTCTCCTTATTGTTCCCTTTCGTGCCCATGTCTAGCGGCCGTAAGCCCTGCGAAGTGAAGGTCCGGTTGCTGGCTAGCAAAAGTAGGACACGGGACACGGACTAGCTCACAAGGGACAACGCGGCGTCGTCGTCTCCCACGCCCTATTTTTCCTCGTCGAAGCCCATTGCCTAGACTTGTCGATCGACGTGAGGTCAACGGTAAACGTAGATGGGTCGGCCTCGGGGTCGAATATTGACTCCGCCACCCTGCGGATGCGGCGTCATGAGGTGTCGGTTCTTGGTGCTAAAACCGGTTGATCTTGAGTAGGGGTCCCAAGCTTGATTACCTGAGCTAGATGGTAACAGGAAGAGTAAGGACACGGTGTTTTACCTAGGTTCGTGTCCTTTTAATGAGATAAAACCCTACGTCATGCTGCTTATATATTGGTTGTGATGGAATAGAAAGTACATGTTGATCTATCTCGAGACCGTATGAGTTTGTCTAAGCTCTAGCCTTGCAAATGTGGTTGCTGTATGGAGTAAACCCTACGACTTATATAGATGTCGGGGTACCTAGGGTATACACATGGTCGGTTATAATGTAGGGATAAACACACCAACTACTCAAATACGATTGAAGTCTATGCCAAGCCTCCAGAAGACCTTCGTCTTGATTACGCTGAGTGCCAGGGCCAGGGTGGCCCATTCATCAACCTTTGGTGGGTCGTCGGCCAGACTCATAGCCGGCGGACCGACGCGATGAACACTCCCTAATCCAGGACACGAACAGTTGCCCCTGAACTAGTCTTCAAGATGAGGGTATCAGACATCTTCATTGGGATAACTCCATAAGTTTGAGTCTTCGTCTTCATAGTCTATAGTAGAGCCATGTCACCTGTAGCCTGTATTTGAAAAAGTTCATACAGTAGAATGGATGTAGTGTTGGCTATACATTTAATGCATGCATGCTGTGCTAGGCAAAGGAAAGTGACAGGATTGGCTGGGGGGAGCTGAATACCGGCCGTAGCACTCGCATGGGCTGCATGCAGGCTCCTTTTCCTCGTTGCTTGTGCTATCGCCCGGCGACTCGCGAAGCGCCCGCCTGGTCCTTTCTTCTCACTTCTCTCTCCTCCAGCTATGATTTTGCTGATGTGGAAGACGCTATAGCCTGCTGACTAGTCTCTATTGTACTTGCTCTTAGGTTGTGCACCGTGACCAAGGAGGAGGAGAAAACGAGAAACGTTAATGTTTATTTGCTAATTAATAGTATTGCATGCAATGAACTAACCACTGCATGTTGTGTTTGATATCTCAAGTCATTAAAAGCATGCATACTCTTTATCTCTTATTGGTTGATATGTCAAGAAACAAGAAATGAGGTAGAAGTTAATGCACCGCGCCTAAGTGTTTTGGGATTATTTGGTTTTCGTAAGATGACTTACACGCCTAGACGGAGGGATTACAATGGTGAGGAATAAACCAGTTAAATATTTGGTCAAAATTTAGCACAAATTACAATGGTGAGGAATAAACCAGGACGGAGTAGTAGTTTAGAAGCCCAAATAAATGAGTGAGGCGCCTTATTGTTACTCTCCACTATGACTAGTCTTGTGGGAAAAGATGGGGAAGCCGCCAAAAGAACTGGCCCTAGGAGTAGTAGCTAGGGATCGAGTGTGCGAGATGAACCGGAGAAAGTAAATGTAGAGAGATGAAATGCAAAAAAGACGAAAGGATGTGATGGTTGCTTGTCCGTTTATTTTACCAGGCCACTTATTACTGGGAGTGGTTGGGTTTTGTGATATGACGGCTTTACTGCCGTGCCACGAGCGGGGTGAGAGGTGAGACTCCCGTGCAGCGCCGCCCTCTACACTTGTACTACATCGGGCGTGGTTTATTAGTCCCCCATTGAATTTGACTGAAGATTTAACTGACAAAATGTTAGTGCATGTCAACAAAAACTATATCGTTGGATTCGTATTTGAACATAGTTTTGAATGATATAATTTTAGGTGACATGCATCAACATTTATCGTACTATATATAATGTTAGTTCAATTTTTGGTCGTACTAATCTATAGTAGTAAGGTGCCCGTGCGTTGCACCGAAGAGTGAAATGCATTGATGGGGGAGTTGTTTATTTTGACAAAGGATGTGGGGGTCATCTCATGTGTAACGGGTATCGATAGGTTTCTTCGGATATTATTTCATCTCTAGAGCTCACAAACATCCGGGTGAAATAGATAAAATGGTATCTTTTGCAAACAAAAGCGTTCAACTGTTCAACCTGCATCCAAAACATGTGAAGAAATAACACTTATTGTGCTTTGCAAGAAATGATCTTTTCTACACTATCTATACTACTACTATATAGTATACGAGTCCTGGATTGCACCTAGAGCATCAATCCTAGCCACTCATCTCCTAAATCTAACGGCTGATATTGGAGGGATTCGCAGTGAACAGTGCCTGCAGCTGAATCTACTTGGTTCTAGAACCATCACTGCACCGTGTCATACCTTCCTGAAAATAAGACCTATGCCTCCTCTACTATGCTGCAATTGTCAGGTTGTGATGAGTAAAAAAAGAGTTGGTTTTGAGCTGATTTGAGATGGTCTGGAGGAGAAACTAAAGTTGAAGTAAACAATTTGTGGGTTCCACCATGTACTTTTTTTTATATTCTTCGAAAATTTCTGGATGACCGCAGGCAGCAGTTGCATTTTGTACTACCAATTAGTAAATTTCTAAACCCTATTTCATGTGCATCAACAATATTTTTTTTCTCAGAACTCATTTTTCAAAGTATTTTTTTGGTGGAATCACACCATATTGTTAAGACGTGCATCGCACGTGCATACACGCTAGTAAGAATTAGTTTTTGAGTATCGATTGTTATACATGTTGGCTACAGATGACATGACACTTTCTTATAGTCAACATGTGGCTATACTATTAAGTAATATTAACCATGCCCTTATACACCTAGATGGATGGATTAAATCAGGATGACTTGCAAGCGGGCAGAGGGGATGTAAGAAATGGTTCATCGTAAGTCTTTCACCAGTACTGTAGTAAAAAATTATGCATCGAAGATTCTAGACTAAACCATAAACGGATACACTTTTATTCATGCGCGATACTCCAATAGAGCAAGATCCTGCATGGAAGTCTCCACATGCTTAGACAGCGGATTACATTGAGCGAAGACTAATGATCAACATTTAACTTGATAATGCGTATGTCCAGGTGAACCTCCTTGTAGTCCCCGTGCACCGCATCTGCGGGTAAAGGATGCCATGGGTTTCCAACTCCATATTGGCGGGATAGTCCCAACTCCCCAGAGTCCAAGTCCGTTCGATGAGGCCAGTGTCGCCGCCCACGCGACCCGGAGGGGTAGTAACACTGACCACGCACCCATACATCGGCCTCGTGTCAGTGTCAGTGTCAGCGGCGTCGCCCCTGACGCACATTACAGAGACGGGGCGGCGGCCTGTGCGGGCCTCGCCGGTGCCCACGATCAAGAGGAAGACGCTTCCGACCTCCTCCGA